CTACCAGTCAGCTGCAATTGTGGAGGTCATCAACAAGGTATGGCTCAAGGATGCAGACTGCCTGGCAAGTGCATTGCATATGGAGTACAACCCATGCCTTTCCTGGCAATCACTTTAGCTGCACCAGCAGTGAGTCTGTGGTTATGGGATTGCCACCCACTCAGGTGATGTCTTTTTAGGTCAAATGGACTCTCCACGAGTGGGAGAATGGGAAGCTGGAGGCTCAGTTTTGGTGTCAAGCAGAGAAATGGAGGTATGATGACCACCTGGAAACCCTTGGCCAGTTCCATGCCACAAAACCAGATGCATGCATGCACCTTCAAGTGTGGTTATATGACCAGGGATGGTGAGTTCCACTCAGCATGTTTGGCAGTTGACTAAACATGATAGTCTTCATGCAGGCATGTGGGGTGATGCTCCAAAGGCCACCCCAGGGGGGCGCCTGGGCCTTGGGCCTTTTGACAATGAGCCAGATGAATGATTAGGATGACAAGGCCATGTACACTGCCCAGGCCTGCTGGCCTTGGGCGATGGGTCTCATTAGCATGTTTTGGTATCGAAGGGGGGGGGGGGGGCAGGGCATAGCACATGATCCGTATTATTACTGTTAGTATGAACACAGATATCTTTCTACAAACTACAGGGGGCTGCAAAGGGAATCAAATGAATGAAGGAGGGGAGGGTTTGGCAGGTGACACTGGCCGCCCTGGCTGCTTGGGGAGTGACTGCTTTGCCAGGTGCTCTAGGAGTGCCCGGCAAAGCAGCAAGTGGTGCCACATGGCACAGAAGGGGGGGTAGAAGCCAGGGCAGCTGGTGCAGCAGCAGCCGTGCCATGTGGCACTGCTACCCTTTTTTTTTGCTGATGAAGATGGTTAGAAGGACTTTGTACTCAGCATCAGCCTACACATTTCATCAACCACATACTGAGAGTGATCAAGCTAAGCATGCATGGTCCTCATATTGCTCAATATGCATGGTTGGTGACAGCCATGGGGTCAGTGCTGGAGTCGGAGTGGGAGGCAGAACAGGAGTTGGTACTGGAGTTGGAGTTGGAGTCGAGCCTTGAAATGTGGGCATAAGAGGCGGAGATGGGGTGGGCATACCTAGGATATATGGGATGAATTCTGGAGGAAAGATAAAGAACAATGTGAAAGAAAGAAAGAAAGAAAGAAAGAAAGGGAAAAATATGAAGAAGTCAAAATGAAATAAAACAGGAGCATAGAAGAAAGGGGAAGAGAAAGAAGGATGGATACAGGCAGGCAGGCAGCAGGTTCTGATGTTAACAGGGTGTCTTGGCATCATCAGTGCTGGTGTTTGGTGTGGGCACCAATGGTAAACAATGAAAGCAAGGGCTGTGGGGGAGGGAAGTCGAGCCCATGGGTGGGCAGTATTTGGTGAGCATTACTGGATGTCACAAATCAGTTATTGTGCTGAAGGGGTGCTGGTGCTTTGCACATAATGGGCTGATATGTGCCAAGGCATTCCCCCATCCCTTTTCTCCCTTTTCCTTCCTCCTCTTCTCTTTCTCCCTGACCCGGATCCTCCCTCACTTTGTGGCCTGTACACATGCATACACTACTGCTGAATATCTCTTTGCACTTATCATGGATGCTGATTGATCTCCATAGCATTCCTTGCCTTCCTGGTGCACATTTGCTCTTTTCCCCCAAAGGGGGACTGTGCACAGCATCTGGCCATGGGTGTAGAGGCAGACTCAGTGTGCACCTCAATCCTGGAAGAGGAAATTGCATGACCAGGCATGGGCAGGTAGAGAGGCAACACATAGGCAGTCAAGAAGCAATGCATAGGAAGGCAGAGGAAGGCAGAGAGGCAAGGCAGATGGGGGCATGGAGAGCAATGGCATGGAGAGTGATGGTGTGGAGAGCAATGGCATAGAGGGTGATTGTGGGAGGTTGAGGACATAGTGGATGGTGAGTGGGGAGAGCAAGGGAGGGGGGGACAGGGGACAGGGCAAGGTCGAGGGCTGTATGGAAGGAGACAGGGAAAGAAAGGGAAAGTCTAATGGTGAAGAGAGAAGGGAGGAAGGGGAGGGAACCCTCCACCGTTTGCCTGCAGGTTCTGCCCCCCAGAGGGCACAGGGTACATCTCTCCATATGACTTAAGTCTAGTTGTATGGTTATCTTGTCTACATGTTGGGCAACATGCAGTGTCTACACATGATCACAATTGTCAGTTGTGTAATGTTAGAAGACATTGAAGATAAGGGTAATAGAACAGCAATAGAAAGAGCAACCATGCCCAAACACAAAGAGACACTGAACAAGAGAGTGATAATAGGGATTCATGTGAAAATCTCCTCCAGTGCCTATCAGATATTGGTTCCAGCCCACTCCTGCCAACAGAGATGCAGTTCTCTGTTTATCTGTTAAACTTTTACTTTGTGTGACAACATGAATTATGTATCATGCCACACAATGGCATTTAGACCAGGAATGTATGGAACATGTTTGTTTGCCATTCAATGTGCCAGAGTTCTTGTCCAAGTCCATGTTCCGTGCGATTGTGTATGTGATGCTGATGGTTGGACAGATGCAAACAACAGCCATGTCACTCACATGCTACAACCACCAGCGTTGTTGTGCCTTTGTTATGTGCCATGCTGAACTCCCAATAAACATCACCCATTGCCGGACATTGAGTCCCTGCTCAATTCTCTGCATCTTGAAAGTTAGCCTGTCTAGAGGAACTGCATTTAGGCAGTCACTTAGATAGGTGAGGTGCTACTTGGAAAGAAGTAGAATAACTGTCCCTGGTTGATGGAGGTGGTACATACTGCACCATAACTGGGTTCATTGGCCCTGATGCTCAACTTCCCAAGGCATCTGCTGAACTTCCCCACAAAAAAACACAAACCTGCTTATTGTCTTGCCCAAGAGCACTGCAATCTGACCACTGCTCTTGATCATCCTGCACTGGTTGGTCCAAGGCACATTGCAACAGACTGGAACATATGACCGAATTGTGGGTGACAACCAAAAGTGGCAGAAAGTGCCTCTTTCTCACACATGCTAACATCCACAGTCATGCAGGGATATGCCCAGGCATGGGCATGCCCTGATCAGGGTCATAATGCTCATCAGGGCCTGCCACCTGATGCAGTGTTTGTCAGGCCTGTGTAGGCCCTGCATTGAGTATGTAACTAGTGTAATGCATGTAATCCTATGTAAGGTTCTGTCAGACTGCCGGCCTCAGGGCAATGTAGGCCATGCTTTGTGAAGCTGAGCATCAGGGCCCAGCAGCCAGCATGACAGGGCATCTAGTGTCAGGTGGTGTCAGCACACCCTTGACAGATCCCACCTGACACAACCAGGTCAGCTTCTGCCTTTCTGGGTGACATCAGTAAGACATTGTCAGTATGACTTGTCTGGGTCCATATTGGGTGAACCCCAGCATTCCTAGCCATCCTTGGTGACCCTGATGGGCAAATGCCCATGCCTGTGTCAGGTGAACCCGGCAGGCCATTTGTTGTCAGGCTTGCCAAGGGTGGGCCATCATCCTTCATAAAGACAACACATAAGCATTTTGAGGGCATATATTAATTCATTGCATTATGGTCCCAGGCTGGGCACCATCATTCATTGCTCTGTCAGGTAGGTACCACACTCCTAGGATGCAGAATGTCCCCATCGTCCTTGTATCATACATTGACCACAGATACAGTAATCCCTGCCCATAACAATCTGGCACAATAATGATTCCTTGGGGTTAAGGATGAGGTTGAGGCAGAACGGACTCTGTAGATAGGGAAAAGTGACCAGTTAAGGATCAACCAGGATAACAATAATGATCACTGGTCCAGGACAGTATTTGCCCATCATGCCTGCCCAAAAGCATCAGAATTACACATATGCTGAGAAACTGGCTGCTATTGAGAAGATCCAAGCAAAAGGATGGTCACAACGTGAAGCTGTTGAAGGGCTCAAGAAAGAAGGATATCCAACCATCTCCCAGAGCATGCTCTCTGCCTGGCTGCATGATGAAGCTGGCATCTGTGAGAAGGCAAGCAATGCCACAACTGCCTCCTTTAAGCAACCACAGACTGTTGAGCATCCAATTGTTGAGGCAGCACTGAAAGAATGGGTTGAACAAGCACAGCAGAAGGGTATTGCAATAAACGAGAACATCTTGAAAATCAAGGCAAGACAGTTTGCAGACATGCAGGGGATTCCAAAGGAGAAGTTCTTGTTGCTCTCGAATGGTTGGGTTCAGGGGGTAAAGGGATGGCTGGGATTGAGAGGGGTACAGCTACAGGGGGAAGCTGCATCAGCTGATGTTGAGAAGGCTGATGAGGAGGAGTTGCGTCTGAGGAAGATTTCCAATCAGTATGCCCTTCAAGACATCTTCAATGGTGATGAGACTGGTCTCTTCTATTGAATGCCACCAAACCACACCCTTGCTACAATGGCCTGCTCTGGCAGGAAGGGTGATAAGACTCGCATGTCTTACATGCTGACAACAAATGCAGATGGCAGTGAGCGGCTTAAGCCATTGGTTATCAGTCATTCCAAGCAGCCTTGCTGCTTTCAGCACAAGACACCACAATCCCTTGGCTTTGATTATCATTTCAACAAGAAGGCATGGATGACTGGAGTGATTTTCCAGCTCTACATTACAGCCCTTGACTGCCAAATGCAACAACAGAACCAGAAGATCCTTCTTCTTGTTGACAACCACAAGTGGGATCCAGCAACTGTCACAAATGTCCAAGTCAAATTCCTTGCCCCCAACATGACTGCACATATTCAACCAATGGATGCAGGTATCATTCAAAACTTCAAAGCAAACTATAAGCAAGCACACTGTGAGCAAGCACTGGATCAGGAGATGGCAGGTGTGCTAGATATCTATTGCATCGAGCAGAAGGAAGCAATGGGGTTGGCATGGATAGCCTGGGAGGAAGTCACAGTTGAAACAATTGCCAACTGCTGGCATCACACTTGGATTGTCTCTCCTTGTGGTCCAGATGGCTGCCTTCTACCAACTGAGGAACCTGCAGCACTGCCTGAAGACTATGCAAATGATGACAATCTCTGTGCAGCAGTGGAATGGCTGCATATCTTGATCCAAGAACTTCAAGACCATGGTATCCTCCCTGAAGCACACAGAATGGAGGTCAATGAAATGCTCAGC